GGAATCTCGGAGTGAATTGAACCGTGAGTGCAGCATTAGGAGCGACTATAATACTCGCTTGAGTCGACGCGTACCTTTAATGATGTAAGTAAGCTCTTGAGAAACGTTCAGTAAAAAGCTCACAGGTCACAAATAACGCATGAACTTGGAGTGCGTATGGGTAAGGGCTGGAACTTTTGAATTACGTGTGGGTAAAAAGCGAAATCCACAATACTTAAGTACCCGTAAAGGTATTTTAATTTCACGAATCAAGGAGCAGCAATTTATAAAGAAAAACTTATTTTTTTTAGAACTGAGGAACACACACACACACATTCACATTTTAGTATATCATCATCCCTATGAATGGAATAGGGAGATTGGGCCATGACCCACCACGCGGGCCTAGTGTGGATTGGTTGTTGCTAACGATTGCAGATGCAGCCGGGACCAACAGCTTAACGTGCCTTCTGAAGCACGGAGGAGCTCGTGATAATAAATTTTTGGTCACCCATCCAATGACCGACCACTGCGAAAGTTGCTTGACTGCAACTATCACAACCGAACGCACTAACCACTTGCGCCATCGAACTCCTCAAGTTAGTACATACTATGTGTTCAACTTATTTGTTTTCACTGTGAACAGCCTAGCTGTTCATCAGGAATATGACAGATGATAAATATGTCACTTCACTTGTCATTTGCTATATTTTTCTCTTAATTAATAAACTATGTAATACAATAATTAAGTTATTTTACTCCAAATAACTAGTGGGTATACTGGAAAGCCGCTAATCGAGTTCTTCGGTACTGTAGAGGCTTAACCTGAAGGGAAGCCCTGGGGGGTATGCTCAGACGATAGTAAACAACTAATTAGATTTTATATTTATTTTATTAGAATTCAAGGCCAATGTAATAACTAAAGCTTAGTGTCGCCGCACACGTGCCACTGACCACGATCACAAAACGCCGCCACCGGCATATTTCTTGTAGTTTTCATACATTTTATATGGACTCGCCACACACGGTATGCCGGTGGCCCCCAGACGCTACAAATCGTCGTTGCTCGCTTCTTGTGGCCCGCACCGGCCACTTAATGCGCCGATACAAAACGCCGCCACACGTCACTCACGCGATTCCCCACCCCTCTCTCCCTTATCTTAGTCGGCCGGTGTCGCGCGCTTCAGCCACTTTAGTAGCCGCTTCAAGCTTCTAGTGGCGGCGTTTGTGGCTGTGGCGTGTGGCCCGTGTGCGGCGACACTTAATAGATAACCGTATGTTCTGGTGCCTGAATTCTATCTCCTGGAATCTTCTATCAAAAGACAGAAGATTCCCAATTTCAAATCTTTAAAATAATGACATTAACTTTTTAATATAACTACCAGCCGTAGGCATTACATAAACAAAGAGTTTACACAAGCAAAGAGGCCTTAAGGCCCTATTCCATCCTATGTGCTACGATGATGCCGACTATGGAAACAATCTTATGGACCTACGTTCTTATAGTATGTCGTACATGAACAAAACCGGTATATAAACAAGGGATACATTATCATGGGAAACTCGCAAGCAGAGCACTGTCGCGCTTTCCACTACAAGAGGCCATATATATTGTTCTGGCGGATGCTTGCGAAGAGGCAATATACCTTAAGCCGCTCAATGTGTGATGCTTAAGAGTTAATTTAATGCTTTTAATTAAGTGGTGTGTCACTTTATTAACAAAGTAGGTACCTACAACTGGACTGAACTTTGCGTAACATCATCGAAATCATCAATAATAACATCGAAATTTGCTAGCCATCGTACTAAAAAAAGTCCTGGTCGTATAGGTAAGTTTGGTTGGTAATAATTCGGTCAAATGTTTGAATTATCAGTACCCAAATCTCTCATGCAAAAAAATTAACACATATTGCCACTTTTTAGAAATATTTCATTGTAATGATACCAATTTGATTCTTACCCTGTTGTTAAAAGCACACGTGCCTTAAATAGCGCCAGAATAATTTGAGTTGACCGTGCTAGGATCAAGAAGGCTTGAGACGTGCATTGTCTGGGGTGACAATGTATTGTGTTCAACGAGAGCACTTTGTGGTTCTTAGTTATGGGACTATGTGAATCCGCAGTTCACCCTCAGGTTAGAGAAGGCTAGCTGTGGAAGACTGTACTTCTTGTATCTCGTCATAGAAAAATAACAGTTATTTATTCATAATTTTATTATAAATGCATTAGTTAGTTAATCTTGATTGTCAGCTAAACAGATGTACATGAACTTTTTCTTGCAAAATAAAGGAGACCTTGGATGTCCTCCGGCTTTGGACTTTGTGTTATCAAATTTTCAGTTGTAAGGGCTGAAATTGGTATGAAACAGTTATAATATTATGCATACAAAACCACGCGCGCCCATTAGTAGTTTAAATAAAGCTAGATTGTTTTATCAACACATATTTTTCTAACTCCCAACGAAAAAAGAGGAGTGTTATATTTTGACCGTTGTTGGTTACTATGTGGCACCGTAGCTCTTAAAAGAATGAAACTACTTTCACATTGAACTTAAATCAAATATTTCTTCTAATAACTGGGCCGTTTCCTTTAAAAACAAATTCCTTTAAATTTAAATTGTATTGTTTAAATTGTACAATAATTTTGTGAACAAAACATACTACTGACTTAACTCGATTAAAAACTGATATACCTACCTAATTTGATTAATTGAATTGGTGGCGTAGAGCTGCAAGCGGTTTACTTGAAACGTCGCATTTGTGGTAAATATCTAGTGTATCAGGATAATTGGATATTCGATCAGATTGCTTGTCCAGTTAATATATCTACTCGGTTTACGGTTGTGTACTGAGAAATCGAGAATCTAGCGATGCAATATTTGTTAAATCACTTTTTAAAGGGTAAAAACGTGATACGTTACGTGAAACGATGACAAATATTTTAACTGTAAGGATTTTCTTAGTAATGCTAAGGAACCTATCCTGTTTGAAAATAATCAAAGAGGCATTGATGGAAAAACGTCTGTATCTAACACAAGTCCATCAAAGGCTAGTTGTTGCCAAAGCCTTCTCAAATAATGCGCCGAAATTAAAATTAACTAGTTGGTCTATACCTACGTAGAACTTTTTATTGTAAATAGTCATCATCATCAGCTTATTAATGTCCCCACTGCTGGGGCACGAGCCTTCCCTATGAATGGAATAAGGAGATTGGGTCATGCCATTGTCTATAGGTGTGTGCTAACGACTGCAGATGCAGCCGGGACCAACGGCTTTACGTGCCTTCTTCCGAAGCTCGGAAGAACTCGAGGTAGTAAATTTTTGCTCACCTATCCAATGACAGACCACTGCGAAAATTCTTTAACTTCAACGATCGCAGCCGGAATCACTAACCTGTCTTGCACCATCGAGCTCCACGTTTTAAATCAGTACCTACTTAAATTCTCACGTTAAAGTGTTCATTTGTTTTTTTTTTCAGTAAATATTACCCCTAGGACGAACCATTATCGAATTCGAATAGTTTGCAAACCGAAATGTCACTGTTTAGTTTTGTATGGAAACTTGAACAACGGAGCGGCACAAAGTACGTAACAAGTACTAAAAATCAGTACACAATTGACAACGACATTTCGGACTCGCAAACGATACGAATTTGATATTGGTTCGTGTTAGGGGTACAGCTTTCTATTTGCAAGTGTGTTCAAAATGTAAATAAAACGCTTGATTAGTTAGTTGGTTGCCATGTTTCGGGGTAATAGATCGTTCCATTTTAAATTACACGAAAGAAATGAGTTTGCTATGTTATTTATTCGGCTGGTAAACGACGATATACAGGTGACGGGAAAACTCGACCTATTCCTTGAAAGGAGTTATACTAGCGATCATTAGCAACAAATTAAGTCCAGTGAACTAGGGGTCAAAACTGGATGGTTACCGAGTTGTGACGGTTCTTCGACTTTTTAGATTTTTACTAACTTGCTGCCAAAAACCATTAATTGTAAATAAACTAATCCACTCTAAAAAGTTAATTGATACTTTTTTTAAAAAGCTGAAAAATTATTAATTTAAAAACAACGCTGACCCACAACTTACACAATCTCAGAAATAAAAGGAGCTAGCTAGGCAAAACCTATTTATTGCACGCCTCACAACGAGTAAGCGTGTGGGAGTGCTTTACTCTCGATAGGCCGCTATGTGACAAATTTACAATATAAAATCGCTCTTATCTCCCAAGTTAGACACTAAATCAATAAAAAAACTAGACATATTAAATTATAAAGTCAGCGTACTTTTTCATTTTTTTTTGTTAATCGTAATATATCCTTTTGAATTAATTTCCACTTATACTGAGAATGAACTCTATTTTGAACTGATAACCGCTTTAAAGATATTAATGAAATTCAATGGAATTTCTTTACTGGGTTTCTGTTCGTGATTTTTTTCAGTTTTTTTTACAGAAGTGACAGTAATAAAAAAAAAGTGTGAGGCGTGCACTTTTGATTTTCCAATTTTTCGAAATACAAATATTTCGAAATCAATGACGAACATCGAACAACAACACTCATTCATTTGTTTTTTTTTTCAATATACGGCTTCCTATTTGCTACTTAGTTTAAAATAACTTACCTCCTTGATTGCCATGTTTCAGAATAAAGGATCGTTCCATTCTGAAACTACACGACAGATATGAATTTTCATACAATTTATGCCGGCCACTCCTCGTTACAACAATTTTGATTTATCTCGAAGAAGGTTGTCAAAATAATGCTCAAGTTTCTAAGCATGTTTGAGAAAAATATCTAAAATGCAGATAAAATATTAGATTTTTTTAAACGCACCTCACATTTTTTTAATATCTTATTATATTGAACACCTTCAACTTTTATTTTCACGATAAGAAGGCTTTTCTTTCTCTCTCTCTCTAACTTTATAAGGAAACTCGTTAAAATTATTGTAGACACAAAAACAGCATAAGTTGTAGAAAATATATTTTCAATAATAAACATTTTATATTATTTTCAGATGTCGGCGGTCTACCCCCGATACGAACGCCATGGAAGGGAAATGTAAGTACCATCAAAAGGACTATTTTTCTAAGAAAAAGTATTGCAGCAGTATATTTCTATTGAAGAAACATAAAATAAATGCCTACAAAGTAAACTTGCAAGGTGTTAAGCGCGTCGGATGCGTTCGTTGAAGTTAAGCAATCTGCATTGGGCTCGTGTGGTGGGTCATGACCAAATCTCCCTATCCATAGAAAAGATCTGTGCCCCAGCGGTGGAGACATTAATATGATGATGATGAAGTAAATTTATAAAAAAATTATTCAAAAAAGCGACAGACAAGCCATAGCCTATATAGACAACATTAAAAACTATTTTCTCAATTTTCCACTTTTTAGGCCTCTCGCCCATAGGCGCGATTTTATCAATCGATGTTATCGAATACATTATTGCGATATTTCATCATCTGATATTATCAACCGATAAAACAAGCCTATGGGGCCTTACAAGCCTTGAATCATCATCCAAAGAAAAAAAAACAGGACAAAATAAATATCAAAGAGAACATAAAACGGAAACAATTAATTCGATAGCAACATCGTGATTGTTTACCGATCGCTTCGCGATGCGTCCACTTTATAAGCAAGCAGTGTTGAAACGTTTCATCGGGGATGTGTTCGTTTGAAACGTTTATCATTATATTGTGTGTGATGGAAATAAATTGGAGCAGACTATTTGCCGAACACTTGGCTGGGAGCGTTCCGATCCGCTTCGATTCAATTTGGCCCAAATTTAATTGCATTCGAATAGGTTGGGCGAAACGAAAACGCTTTGTGGAGATTATCCCTATTGCGAAAAAGGTTTGACGCCTAATTAATTCCCCTGATTCCGCGAATGTTATCATTTATAATATCTATTATATATCAATTCGCTTCTTAGTTGTGGTAATCAGTTAATTTACCTACCTAGTCGCAACAGTTACGAGAAAGGACAAAGGGTTCATGAGGAGATAAACGAAACTTAAAATAGGTTTTATTTTTGAAGGTTTTATATTTCTTTATTATACTTCTTTAGACGTGTTATGAAAAAATGATGTGAGTAAAATTTTAAGATGTGCGCGCATCACTGTAATACAAAAGTAACATCATGAAGTTGGCCGCTAAACCACGCATTAAGTCTCGAAAAAAAACTACCAACAAAATAGAAACTCTATTAGTCGCGCATGTTGGCACGCTCCTTAGTTTCATACAAGTGCGAATTATATTTGTGCTAATAAATTATATTCAGTAGTGATTTAAATTGAATATTTTGATTATTTATTTAATTTTTCAAATTAAAACTGAACTGTACTGACTGTGTTGACCACCCTTTTCCAGTCCTTTTATTATTTTATTGTAATTAATTATTTGCATGTAATTAAAAAATAATTATTAATGATGCCAAAGAAGTATAACTTCTCACGCGCGTATAAGAGTACACACACATTTTTTTATTCTTATTTCGTAAATAGTTTCAGGCCCAAAGTTCTTGATTCAAACTTTAAAGTTAATCATTTTTGAACCTCATACTATCTCTTTTTGGCTTTAAACAATTGACAAAGATGGAATGATAATGTTAAACACGATTAAGTCTTAATTTAACTTTAGAATATTGGAGTGGGCCTTAAATTTACAACTATTACTAACTTTGTAACGGATTAAATTCAATATTTTACCCGACTGCACCAGAAAGGTAAAAAGTCTATTTCTATCCGAGCGGAAGCATAGTGCACTGTGCATTCGCTGGTTCGAATCCAGTGTTATACCTGGGCTGAATGGAACTTTTTGTAGTAAAAATTTCTTTAGATAAAGATAAGGCTGTTCCTTATCTTTATCTAAAGAAATTAATGCTTAAAATAATAAAAAAATATTAAAGATTCTTTGATTGCTTATACTATATACAAAAGATGCCGAGGTTATCAATTACAGCAAAGTATGTAGGCATGTTAATAATTCAACACAGTTAATTCTACAAAAAAACAATAATATCGATTTAAACACAGTGAATATTACCGTCAATATCTTTATCATGCTTTTTTAAATAGATAATTCCTAATAAAAAAATGTTAACAAAATTTTCGGTAGTTTGTTAAAATAATTTTTTGAATTGTATATGAAGATTTGTAGCAATTAATCAATTATTGACGAAAGAAGAAGAAGATTTGTAGCAATTTAGACGAAAGTCTTCAATCAGTGCGTCCTACCTGTGATGACATACAGAGCTGAGACGTGGACACTGACGGTACGGCTGGTCCACAGGTTCAAAGTCGCTCAGCGCGTTATGGAAAGGGCTATGCTCGGCGTTTCTCTGAAGGATCGCATCAAAAATGAGGTAATTCGAGTCATCGGCATAGCCCACCGGTTTAGCAAGTTGAATTGGCAGTAGGCTGGCCATATTTGCCGAAGAACCGATAACCGTTGGGGTAGACGAGTTTTGGAGTGGAGACCGCGTCTAAGCAAACGTAGTGTAGGACGTCCTCAGGCACGATGGAGTGACGATTTGCACATGGTGGCTGGCAGGAGCCATGGCAGGAGCAGGGATGGGAGTAGCCCAAGATCGATCTGGGTGGCGGGCAATTGGAGAGGCCTATGTCCAGCAGTGGACTAGGATAGGCTGTTGATGATGATGATTGATGAATCAATTATTAAAATAAATAGTCACGTGACAAGTGTAATAGGTATATAACACATTTTTATATTCAAATGTCATATAAAGTTCAAAGTATGGTGTCTCATGGTCATTAACATATTCGTTAATGAATATTCATTAAATGGATGTATGAGGACATAATTTTTGACGACGGTGTAGATATCGAAATATAAAATATCAAGTCATATTCAACACTCAACACACCCATGTCAACGAAAATTCGATCAAAGAAATAATAAAATGCCTGCTCCCGACTAGCAATTTGCTAAAGTGCTTATAATTGCTTAGCTCTTAGATGAATTATACTTACACCAATACTAGAGTTATATTTATGGTAGCACTGATATTGTTTTTACCTATTTTTGGCCTACAAGATTACAAAAATATAAGACTATTTAAAATAAATATGAAACCGAATATTTTTCAGCCAAAAGTAATGTTGTTGTGTTTTAAGAACATATTCAAATACATTATTGCCTAAGCTCTATCATGGGTCTTTGTGTGGTTAATTTTAGTTACTTATTCCTTTTGGGCTTCTTATGGATATTTTATTCAGTGTCCAGTCCATCCTCAATATATTAATACGTGCATAAAATTTTATGTCGCTCGTTGAGTCACTATCGGTGCTAACACAAAGAAACATGTTACATCCGTACTTTTCAGTATAAAAAGGTAGTAGATTTAACATCGGAGTTAGTCAATTCTTAAGGAACCTACATTTGACGACCTCCATTGCGCGAGTGGTATAAAATAAAAAAATAAAATAAAATAAAAATTATTTAATTCGGACAACAGCAGCCCATATCAACCATACAAAATCAAACAATAAAATAACATAAAATTAATTTACAAAAAAAAAAACAACTTCATCAATAATATGTATATACGCCGGCGCCAGGTTTCAAGGATTTTGCCTACTTTAGAGGTCCCAGGTTCGAATCCCGGTGGGGCAAATGTTAGTACGATGAATACGAGTATTTGTGCCAAGTCAAGGATGTTTATATAATATCTAATTTATACCATTCTCGTGTCACGGTGTGCGTAATTGAACTACTCCGAAACGGCTCGAACAATTTCGTGAATTTTTATGAATATTCAGTAGGTCTGAGAATAGGACTACATCTTTTTTTCATCCCCCTAGGGTGGTCCACCCTTAAATATTTTTTTGGACAATTTTTTTTGTTTTTGTTCTTTATGATGCATCATACAAAGATACATACAACCCTAAATTTTCACCCTACCACCAACCCCTATTTTTTTATGGCGATACGAAGTTCGCTGGGACAGCTAGTATTTCTATAAAAATAGTTACATATGTATCAGTATATGTATTATATCCATTACCCTAGTATCCCTAAACACAAGCATTGTAAGTACTTATTGGGGCTAGGCTAATTGGTGTATAAACAAAAATCGAAAGTACGTCTTTGTTAAATGAAAACGCAATCTCAATGGTTTCATTTTCAGATGTAAAGTCGACGACGATACACATTTATTTAATTCAAATTAAGTAAGATTTTACTTTGTTTATTTGACGGTGATATTTTCTAAAAACCTCGTCAGCATCTTCAAATATACGCGATTTTATCGACGAGGATATACTGGCATTCGATATGCCTTTCGCTATGGGTACTCATAAGTACATTATTTAATCTATTGGAAACCTGTTCCTATACGATATCACCCTAAGTCACTTATAATAAAATATTTGAAACTATAAAGCCTAAGTAAAGATGTACCTATAGATCTAAAATATAGTGTTAGATAATAGTCATTTTCTCCCCAAATCTCAAGGAAATCTGACTTAAGCACAAATATGAAAGAGAAAGTTAACAATGAGTAAGTCGAATGTTATCAATACAAAAAATAACAAAAATTCCCTTTAAAAGATTTTTTAGAAAATTAGAAAAAAAACCGCGTCCGCGTGGATTTTTTCTATTAAAATTTTCTTTGCATTTAAACATCTAGCAGTTAAATGCTTAAAAAGAAAATTATATATGTATAAAAAAAAAATCAAAAAATGTAAGTCGAGAAACACGTGAATAAGTAGCTAATTTTACAGATTTGTTATGCATACTTCAATTGGTTTCCCATACAATCTTCCATCCCTCTTTTCACTCCCTTAAAGAATGATTTCTGGAATAAAAACTGTGATTTGTAGAGCTTAGTATTACCATAAAACAGACTTTTTTGTGCTATTGCAGTAGTTGTATTTAATTTGTCGCTAAATAAATAGACTCTGTTTTGATATATTTGCACTGGAACGTACTCGAATTGCGAACACATATAGTTACAGTGCTATAGTCACGTTTGATCATTTGGTCATCCGATATCTGGAAACTATATTAAAACCATTTGATGTAATTGTAACATAGGTCAAGAAGACCTATAATTCTTGAGAATAAAAATTCAGAACAGGATGAGATCCATATCAAAAGTGAGAAAGCGCATTAAAAATTAATTTACGGACGATTTGAGGTCGAGTAGGATGGGGAGTGACCTATTAAGGGAGGAAGCGGTTTATCGCAATTACCAGGAAAACTACAAGTCCCATCGAAAATATTTAAATGCAAGGTTATAGGCAATAACAAATCTATAAGTTTGTATTACATTTTTCTCACAAAATCTAAACAATCTGCGAAAATTGTATTTTTATCTCCCACAATTTCTTTTCAAGGAATTTGTTAAAAATCTACTTTTTTACATCCCAAGCACGCTCTTATCCTACCACTATATAAGCGAATGGTCAATAATAAAGTAGATACACATCAATGCCGATATTTATATTTATATCGTCGGGAGCTGGAAAACTTTAATCCATCCCTCGTGTGATATTGCGGAGTGATAGCTTCTGTCGCGGCTGATGAGGGTGCGAGCGTCAGGGGCAGATATGAGCTGTGAGAAGCGATCTTCATTGACAGCTGAATTACCGACGCGTCGATACGAATTTTGCGATGGATATTTTTTACATTACAGACTTAGCGATGTTATTCGTTCTTGTGATGAGATTTTTATGATTCTTCAACATTAATTTTAATTTATATATTTGTTTCTTAGGTTTTCACACACATCACTCATTAAATAAAACTAGTTTTTACGGGTTAATGCACGAAACTTTATTTCTTTATTGACGTTTCGTAGCCTTTACGGGCTACGTCGTCAGAATCAAATTTTATTTAATTTGTCGAGCTACCTTCGAAAGACTTTTATTGAGCGTTCGGTTATTTCATTGTTCGATTTTTAAAGTTTTATTGTCTATGTATGAATTTATTATTTAATTTACTTAATAAAGTATTCAACTTAAAATTCTTTTTTGTAATTTTGAATTTGAAAGTTTGATTCTGACGACGTAGGTTTCGTAGCCTTTACAGGCTACGAAACGTCAATAAATAAATAAGGTTTCGTGCATTAACCCGTAAAACTAGTTTTATTTAATTTATATGTAAAAATGAACCAGCCTGACATATGGAAAAAATATATAAATATTATTTTCTAAAATATATGTTATAATATTCGAGCAGCGGTCGGCAAAACTTGTATGAAAATCCATATCTGTAGTAGTTTAGCGATCAAATAAATTGCATCTGTCGTGCAATTTAGAAATGGAATGATCTTTTTTTTACTCCGAAACATGGCTACCATGACAGTAACTTACAGGTTTTATTTAAATCTCAAACTGACTGCCTAATAGATAGTACATTACTGCAGCTGCCAGCAAAAGAGGCTTTCGATGTACTTACGTATATGTGCCTTAGCTTCGCCTCGGCCCACATTTGCATGTTCGTCTATCAATACCTCTTTTGCTGGCTGCTGCTGTAATATAGGTACTATTTTACAACATGCATAAGAAGAGGTAGGTCATAGCGATTCGGAGCACCCGTCAGGGAAAGTAAGCTCCACTTAAAAGAAAAACACAGGGAAATACCACAAAGTGCTTTTTGTCCCGGCCTGATTTTTACTGGGTAGGCTTTGCTTATTTTATCGTTTCTTAGTAGTTAGTAGGCTTTATGAAATGAGCGAGGAGGAGTCTCCAGATACTCTGTTTGCGCTACTTCATGTGGTTCAGGCAGGCGTAACACCTTTACAGGTGTCAAAAAAGTGCTTTTTGATGATGTTTTGTTTTTGTCACCAAAATGACGAAGTCAATTTCGTGATTGCATGTGGTATGCAATTTGATCAGGGTTCTTAAGAAATCATTTAGAGAATAAAAAGTATTATAAATCAAGGCATTTTTTTTTCTTATTTCGCAGGGGAAAAGAGCCGTAGTTCGTGGATTTTGCAACACTCCAGTAAGAAAACTTATACAGCTTGTAAATGCTACCAGCGCCTTCCTCAATTGAACAAACAACAAGCATGGGCAAAGTAAGTACGATAGTTATTTAGTTCTTACAAAATCAATAATGTATATTGAAGTGAAACTTTCTTTACGCACGCTTGACTTGAGGGGTAAGCTGGCGAATGCGTTACGCGTTAAGAAAAGTGTGTTCGGGCGAGGCGAACCGGAGTTGAGTGGGAGATATAAGCAAGAGAAAGCAGTGAACGCACACATTTTCTTTCTCTCTTTCGCTTATAGCTAGTAAATGAGATATGTATATGTACATACATGTATATATAGTGAACACACTTAAATACATGCAGATGGAGCTAAGGAAGTTTCGCTTCAGTCATGTGGTCATAAGCACACTTCTTTTTTTTTAGACTATGTATTGACTGTTTTTAAGTCCACAAGTTTCTGTTATCAGATATATATTTCCAGCTACGGCAGGTAGGTAATTAAAATATGGTCACCATACGAAGTAACTTCATACTTTATAAAAAAACTAGCTGACCCAGCGAACTTCGTACCGCCCTAAAAAATAGGGGTTGTCCAGCGGACAAAATTGTGAATCTAAACCATTCTCAGATCCCCTTGAACACACACAAAAATTTCATCAAAATCGGTCCAGTCGTTTAAGAGAAGTTCACTGACATACACACTCACAGAAGAATTATATATATAAAGATAAAGTATACCACCTGATAACTAAACGTGGACTAAAGTTGTCTGTATCTTTCGCAACGGTAACCGGAAGGCAAAAATTGCCATTTTTTCATGCTATTTTTTCATAATTTTGTGCATAGGGTAGCAAAAAAATATTTTCACCATACTTTGTGCACAGCGAAGCCAGTTATTTTTAGTATCTACCAATGCAATAAAAAAAGAACACAGCTTTAACGCAACTATAGCTAAAGTACGGCCAACGAGAAGCGATCTAAAATTTCCTTCACCTTAAATGATACTACGGGGCTGACAGTCTAATAACTATCTCTTTCATCTCATATATATGACATTAGGGCTCGTTCTATCATTTCACGTCATCGCCGTGGCGCCGAGTTCGCCAACATTCCGGCGCCCATTTTACAATAAAAAATAATGACCTGTACCCCTAGCACGAACCATTATCGAATCCGAATAGCTTGCGAGTGCGATTATCAATGTCAAATTTTATATGGAAAGTTGATCAGCAGCGCCACAAAGGACGTAACGGGAACTAAAAATCAGTACACATTTGACAATGACATTTCGGACTCGCAAAGGTTACGAATTCGATTTTGGTTCGTATTGTACCCCTAGCACGAACCATTATCGAATCCGAATAGCTTGCGAGTGCGAATTGTCAATGTCAATTTTTATATAGAAACTTGAACAGCAGTGCCACAAAGGAAGTAAGGAGAACTAAGTACATATTGATTTTTAGTTCTCCTTTAGTCCTTTGTGGCGCTGCTGTTCAAGTTTCCATATAAAAATTGACAATGACATTTCGGACTCGCAAACTATTCAAATCCGATATTGGTTCGTGCTAAGGGTACTTTTATGATTCTCTGTTTTGATAATATGAATGTTAGTATTTTACATTTTATTTATATAAATGCGTTTAAAACATTTTTATTTATCAAAATTATTTTATGACGTTTATTGTCCTAAAATAATTATGATAAATAAAAATGTCTTTTCTTAATTTTGCCAACCCCCGCTTTGGTCAATCACCTTTTATCGACTTTGTTTACATTTTGTATCGTTTCTCACTGGCCCACAGTGTTTTATAGAACCAAAAATATTTACACCTTAAGGTTTTTGCATAAATCAATTATTTAAACCCTAATAAAGGCAAGAGTTCAATTCCCAGATCACTATTTTAAGTAAAAAAAAAGATATGAAGTAGCAAAGTTTTTGAAATTTGCGCATGAAAATATTAACAATTTAATTTCCTCAAAAGACGGTTCCATATCTGTCCATGAGATATTTGCCACTTGCTAAGGAGTTATTGATGGCATAATTTTGTAATTTTATTTTATTTATAAGTGTCCTAGTTTCCAAGAAATATAGTTTTTTTAAATTTCGATTTTTAATTTTTTTCTCCAAAAATCAGCAAAAGTGGAACCTGGATTTAGTACAGAAAGGTTCTATAAGCCAAGTTCTATCACCCGTAAAAAAATCAAGTTTCGCTTTTGCGGTTTTAAGAAGTTATGACAGAATTTAGATAAAGGTCAACTTTCATGATCTAGGGTTGTCACAAAGGTCAACTATGAGTTAAATGAAAATGTTATTTTTTTTTGTTATTAATACCGTCATTACAAATCAATTGAATAAATTATGTTATATTATAATTGAATAAGTGTTGTACTTATAGACGAATACAATATACTTACATATACTACCTACCTAATGTAGATGTGATAATGTAGGAATACTTTATGTTTTAATTTTGACGACCACATTTTAATTTTGCCTTACACGCTAAATGGCAACGAAAAAATAAACTATGTTGTTTGAAAAAATTTAACACACATCCTATACTATAAACGAGCAATTATTGTATGTACCTATATAAATATATTGGTATGTAATTGGTTTCTCGGAAACGGATCTAACGATTGTGATGAAATTTTGGATTTAGAAATTCATTCACATTTAAAATCAATCTAGGATAGTGTCATCACCTGCCGGCACCTTCTTTATGCAACACCTCTACTTTAACTTTTATACAAATAAATCATCGTCGTTTAATAATTCTAGGTTGCTTTCATTTGCGACGTTCGAAAAATCTTCATCTTCAGCATCTTCCTCTGCTTCGAATAACGGCAATCGATCTGCATTAATTGGTTGTAAGAGCTCGCAAACAGCTAAAGGCAAGGGAAATCGCTTAGAATATTTTCGACGTTGGCTGATATTTGCCATAGAAATAAACGGGTCTGATGATTCTAGGGCACGGTGAAAGAGGTCCTTCATTGTGGTTCTCCTGTTCATTTTTCGGCAATGATGCTCTCTGTTTGAACGCCAGAATTTATTTCGGGACTCAGCTGCTTGTTCAGATAGCATACCGATGGGCAGTGCACTGGACGCAATAATTTCTTCACCGTGCATGAGGATTTTATGAACTGTTACTGTCATCGGGTGCCAACTATAAAAACGGACATATTTTTCAACCCTAGATCATGAAAGTTGACCTTTATCTAAATTCTGTCATAACTTCTTAAAACCGCAAAAGTGAAACTTGATTTTTTTATGGGTGATAGAACTTGGCTTATAGAACCTTTCTGTACTAAATCCAGGTTCCACTTTTGCCGATTTGTGGAGAAAAAAATTAAAAATCGAAATTTAAAAAAACTATATTTCTTGGAAACTAGAACACTTATAAATAAAATAAAATTACAAAATTATGCCATCAATAATTCCTTAGCAAGTGGCAAATATCTCATGGACAGATATGGAACCGTCTTTTGAGGAAATTAAATTGTTAATTTTTTCATGCGCAAATTTCAAAAACTTTGCTACTTCATATCTTTTTTTTTACTTAAAATAGTGATCTGGGAATTGAACTCTTGCCTTTATTAGGGTTTAAATAATTGATTTATGCAAAAACCTTAAGGCGTAAATATTTTTGGTTCTATAAAACACTCGGTGTCAACCCTAGCATAAAAATTTAAAAATTAATATCTTCTAAACGCCGCAAAAGTGACACGTGGCTTATTTATGTATGATAGACCACATCCGTAGGTTTATTTCTATCTAAGTTCTGGGTTCCACTTTTTCGTTTTTAGGGAGAAAAAACAATAAATACGAAATACAAAAAAAAATTGCTGCTCCCAAACCAATGCATTTTCTTACGCTAAAGAAACGCGTTTATACGCCTCTGATTATGCCCGATTGACACATATTTATTAAAAAAATATATTGTTAATATTCACTTTATAAAAAAATATTCTAGATTTCATAGGTCAGAGGTCACGATAAGTTCATGATTTTTTTTCTCAAAAAGTATTTGAGTTAGACTTCTGTAAATTGAACTCATGCCTTTTTTAGGGTATAAATAATCTATTTATGTAAGAACCTGAACATGTAAATTTTTTTGGTTCCATAAAACACTGTGTGGCCGTACTTACAGTATTGTAAGCGTAGTTTCAAAGTTGTACCCAAAATTATATCTATGATACTCTAAATATAATATATGAAACAAGCTTTTTATTATTTACAGCGCAAGTTCTCCCGTTAATGTCAGCGGAGATGTATCGGCGGAGAGTGCAGGTGAGTTGATATGAGAACTTGGCTTTAAGGGTGTGGTCTCTAGAATAGCGAGTAGCCGAACAAATAACGACGGTTTATTCTGTTTTTTTTCATAACATTATCAGAGAGCTTAAAATTGTGAGCCGCTTTTTTATATTTTTTTATTATTTTTTACTAAGCCAATAATGTTTCGCTAAATTCTCACAAAACTGTTGACACAGTTTATTTGCAGGATTTTAAATAATTCGTACACAAAGGTGTCTCAAACATGGTCAATTATGTCAATGTGTTGTGGTGTACCCGTGACCTATACTTGGTATGAATGGCGTATGACCTATTATACTTATGTATCCCTGTTGTTTTTTATAGTGAGCATATGGCTGATGGTTCACCTGATGGTAAGTGATAATCATCGCCCATAGGCAACTGTAACACCATACTCCTGGTGTCCACAAATGCAATGCCAGCCTTTAAGGAAGGGGTACACTCTTTTTTTGTGGTTTTCCAAATATTGGTCCGGAAACACTGCTGGTGATAGTGTATTCAACAGTTATATACTTAACATTAAAGCGGTCTTGATGCAGATTGAAGTTTACACATAAACAAAATATTTTTTACTCAACAGTTTTAATTCATGATACAGAAATAGTCGTTACTTTAGAAAATTTACTTTGACCCAGGCACCAGGCTAATAAAAATTTATTATGTACTTAAAACTAACAATAAAATGCTCAAAAAATTTTGTTAAGTTTTATTACGCACTTTTAAAACTTAGAACAGTAAGCGGAACGAAACCTCTTACTTATATGTACAATTTTGTCGTTGCACGGATTTTTTATAATATTCTATTGCTGCACCAGTCGCTATACTTGAGACCGTACCACAACAAGCCCTATATCATAATCACAGAGAGTCGCCAAGGAGCGGCGAACATTTCAAAATCTACGTGCAAACTGCTTGCGTAGGAAGTTTTGCATCGCACCCAGTCGTTGCAACAATAACTAACGAAACTTTTTAACGAGTTACAGAAGTAGACAACATATTGCTAGCTACATATACTATATTTTGTCTAGGACAGTAGTAAAGTATTTTTCTTTTAAGATATACCTATTAATTTTATTCTTGCAAATCGTGTATTTAAATCTTAATCTTCTGATCTATCTGGTGCAATTGGAAAAAAACACGCAAACAGCTACTTAAAAAAAACTTTTTTTTTAAATGCTTATCTGTAGTATAATGGAAAGAAAAACAAGTTTGCCACTTTAAACAAAAATTCATTTCGTAATATATTGTTTAAACTTCTATGGTCACTAACACTATAGTCATTTATTTTATTAACGGGATTGCTACCATGTACCTTGTTTTTAATGAGTCGCTGATATTTCGGCACAGTTGCAAGCGCAACAACAGATCATGGCGCTTGCAATAGTGCCGAAATATCGGGGACTCGTTAAAATCAAGGTACATAAATTACTATGATATATTTCACATCTAGTTCTTAGCAAATATAAATCCAAAGTAAAAGATTTTTTGGCAATTGGCGATTTGAATGCTAGTTGCTACACCAGTTTTGGGCTTGAATCTTCTCCTAAAGCTTAATCTCAAAGACAAGACCTACAGTCAACCTACGAATAAAGAAATTACCAATTCTTAAGCTGTGTTTATGTCGAAATGTGCAATTCGCTTGATGATACGTTAGGTAATCAATTTAAAAAACAGATTTCGCTCCATTTTTAAATATATTAAGTTAGGACGATTTAAGCTCAAGTTAAAGTAAGTTGAGTTGAGCAAGTATTTAGTAAGAAATAACAGTTACTTTGTGTTCATTTTAGCTCTTACGGATAAAGTACAGTCACTTAGCGCCGTTTGGGTTCATTCTCATTATTATCGATATTGGTGTAGCATAATGCCCTAGCAAGGGGGAAAAGAAAAGTTTGGTAATGATAGTAAGTGACACCAAGAAATCTGTGTCATATTATTATCCTGATTTGAAATTCTCGCTAGATCCCTATGTAATGTGCAATAAATACATTGTTTTTCGTCGTTTACACCAAGGTATAATACATGATGTATGTATTTAACAAATGTTATACAATTTCTCTTTTTTTGTAATAAATTTATGCATCAGGCTTAGTGTACATCTATGAAATAATGTTTATGCAGAATTTGCAGTCAATAGGTCCAAGTGATAAGATTTTACGAACAAACGTTTTTTGCCACTTTCACGCTTAGGAGGCTGAATTTCAAATAATCCTATCTTATTACTTTTCTAGACAATAATAGGAACCTACTGTCCTAATTTCATCATTCTAGGTCAGCCTTTTCGGTTGTGCGTTGATGAGTCAGTCACACAGTCTGTCAGTGTATCTTTTTTCTCTTTATATAATAGTATAGATATAACGTGTAGTATACAATACTTGCATCAAACTTTTTGGATAAACAAAATATATGAAGTAAATAAGAGATTTATACTGTTGTCTTTGCAGTGTAAACAAAATAATGTTTTAAACAGCCACAACAAGTGTTCTAAAAGTTTTGTGTCAAACTAATATATAACTTGTTTCTTGGTGGAAACGAGGGGTTACAATCAATATTCTTGGAAACATAACTTTTATATCTAAAGAAAATTTAAGTTATTTACGGGATTGTTACCATGTACCTTATTTTTAGCGAGTTTTCGATATTTCAGCACTGTTGCAAGCGCCATGATCACTGAAAATATCGGAAACTCGCTAAAAACGAAATACATGGAAGCAATGCGGTAAATAACTTATATTACTATAATATTAGTGACCATGAAAGTTTAAAACAATACAAAGAAAATTTTACGTGAAAGAATTGCGGAATACGCTGATTCGCATGCATTCGCCAGGATAGCTAACGACGCTGATTCGAGTCCTCAGCCAATGAAGAAGTTTCTATTTTTTTAATTATATGAATTGTTAAAATTAAAGTAAAATGAAACAAAAATTTGAAAGAATCATTAAAGTATCTCTACAAAGAAAAAAGTTATGGGACTTTAAATTAGCGCATTTGTAACAATAATTTTTAAACACGATTTAAAATTAATCGGAGGAAAAACAAAAAAACAAAATATATGTTAATTATATAATATAAAACAAGCTTTCAAATAATATATGTTTCGTCGCTGCCGGAAACCTACTACCGCTTTTGAACCATATCCCTTTATCTAGATTTAAAGATGGAAATAAAACAAAGTAACTAATATATAAGTTCAGTATTGTATTGTATATAGAGTAGAGAAGCATTCAAGCAAATTTATAAGCGAGGCTAAAAGGCAATGTGTTACGCTGATACACAGACATGACGGAGTGTGCTACATAAACGTTGTGATCCCTACCGCAAAACGATGTAATTTATTTGCAAATTCTCCACTCGAAATACATACAAATTTACAAATGGCGGACTTAAATGTCTTCCCTGCCAGTATTAATCACCCGGGATTCCTCCAGTTTTTGAGCATTTCAAATTAGTCGAGAAAAGAATAGATACTTTGTTATTTTTATTTTGTAAATAAGAATTGCCACTAAAGCTCAATTTGGCTAAAATTGTCGTGCAGAAACACTAATTACAGAATACCAGCTTATTGTCAATTCGGCACTTGAAGAACAGATTTTCTGGTATTTTAGATGTGCTAAGAGCATCGTATGATTCGCGACTCTAGCGCAATTTATAAGTGGCGGCGTAAGCGGCAGCGATTTTGGCCGCTATAACTCTAAACAAAATGGCAGTAGCAGCTGAAATGAGAAATAAAAATCTGGTAAATATGTCGTGTAAGCGGTTTAGCATCTATATTGAAATTACAAATAAAAGGCGTTAATTAAAATAGTAATCTCTAATAATATAATAGTAATCTCGGCTCAATAGTTAATAAATATCGTATTAACTTTGCACAATGGCTCAAATTCGGAGCAAAAGTAGCACTGGTTAACATCGCGTGTTAACTCGGGCAAAACAATTCGTTGGTCAATATTGTTAATTAATTATAACGTCATGTTTTAATCACTTCAATATTTGACCCAAATTTTTTTTGTTCATAGTTGTTAATGTTCACGGCATATTTCAATCACTTGTTCATTATTGATCATATGTGATTTAGGTATTTTAGTTAAGATACATAATATATTGATATAAATTGTTTTTTTCTAATTTCCGATATAGAAAATAAAGACTCTTGTTTAAATATGTTGTGGTAACTATAGGCAACTACGGAACCCTACACAGCGCGTGGCATGACACGCACTTGGCCGGTTTTTTATTTTGAGGAAGGGAACCCTAATCTGAGACTTATTTAAAAATTAAATGTCTTTCTTACCGCACAGCCTTTTTGTGATACACCCACAGTTAAATATATTCCGCCGAGTAGAAAATAGTCAGTGAAGGTTTGACATTCGATGTAGTTATGGGTAAGAAAGTTATCCCGCGTTATGTAAGGGATTTCTGCTTCAATAGCTCTAAAAATTCGGGTTCGTCAGCATTGCGAAACGAATCAAATGTCGAAGTGAATTCCAAGCTCAAAAGTGATATTAAATTTTACTTCTGGTCGGGGATTCTGTGCGGTTGCAGTTATACAGGAGTTCGCTTATAAATATATAAGCTCACATAGTTTTCTACTGTGTTAAGGTAAAAAAATTATAGTCAATTACAAAAGTTTACTTTTATACACCGTGAATTTTGAATTACTTGAGAAACTTTACTAGCAAATTCAGGCAATGATTTAGGTTATATATCCGCAGTTTTTTTTTCTTCAATTATTTTTTTTGAAAATTGATATCTTCACATTATGAGTATGAAGTATGAAGTATGATAAATTGATAAATATAAATCTGTTTTTAGGATTTATTTACTTTAAACGGTATTGTATGGTATTTACAAATTTGCGCCGTTTTAGGATATTTTATCCTTATACGATATAAATCAATATTTTTGTCTGGGAGTCTATGGGGTATAGCACGTTTATTGGTTACAACTGTTCGCACTATTTTCATTTACATGATTTT